ACCTCACAGTAAATTCTTTACAGATTCGGTCATGTTTTTACCATCCACTTAAACTTGCATACATAACCTGAGACCGTACCTCTGGATCGAGGAATATGACAAGCCAAAATAAAATCAAGTCAAATTAAATAGCAAGAAAAAGCTGCAAGCAAAACAAGGCTGGGGAAAAAAAAAAAAAGAAATAAATAGAAAAAGATGAAAAATCAGTTGTGACTGAAAAACTGTAAGTATTAAATAAAGAAAGAAGTCAGACGGAAATTCAGAAGCGCCCGTATTCTAGTTGACAGGGGCTGAGAAATACTAATGGGCTTTTTTAATGGGTGCTTTGATGGATGAGCGAAGAAATCATGTAAAAGTAAATGTAGCAGTGTATCAAAGTAAGGCATGATGTTGGGAAAAAAAAATAAAAATAATAAAAAAAAAGCATTGCAAATAAAAAAGACATGTAAATGTGTGCCTACCATTTTCCAGATAAGAAGGGGCCGTACCTTCTGAGGGGTCAAGGCGGCGAGCCCGCCTCCCGTGTTTGGAATTGTTGTGTACAAACATGTTGTCTGAGACAGCCAGCACGTGGCCATCCACATTGACTGTTGTTGATACAACAACCTGCAAAAGAAGAGAAAACCCCGCAATTGAAAAAAAAAAACCCGCCGCGTTTGCACGGAAACAGCTCTGCTTGTAAGGGAAAACAGCATCCGCAGCCGGTTATTTTCTGCTTTAAATGAAGTGAATGACAACTATGAATACATCTTTGTTTATGTGGCTAACACTGGTGATTTTTAACTCACAATTGTTTCTCTTCAGAACCTGCTACACTAATTAGAGTTTAATCTCCTATTATGCTAACAAATGAATTCAATTCAGGGAAATATTCTTCTAGCCATTAGTTTCAGAAACACCCCTCTAGCCACTCATTTTAAAAGCTGCTGTTTTGATTGATCTGTTGATATATTGATTAGATAGTTTATCTAATTAAAATTTGTTCACTTGAGACTGTCTTCAAATGAAGGGTTGTGAGGATTCCAAACAAAAAAAGCTTAATAAATCAGGAGCCATCGTAACTCCCCAGTTTTTTCTGCAGTAAATGATCTCCAGGTCAGTTTTACAATTACATTTAATGTCTGATAATGAACTTTTTTGCATCTGAAAAGAGCGAGTTGAATATGAATAGTGAAAGTGTTTTCAATCCATGAAAAGTATCCCTTCTCAAGTTCATTTGGATGGTGATTGACCCTGGTATGTCAATGGAATTTCCTCCTTTCTTGTTGAGTGAAAGGCTCCTATTCTTGTGTCCAGGTTCAGAGTCCGGCCATAGAAGAGATGATGGATAGGGCCTTCTTTGGCTTCCAGCTGCTTCTCAGTGGAAAATGGAAAAGGAACATATGCAAAACGCACAACCTTCCCCGATTCAAACACCTTCACAATGGAGTTGTGCAACTCCATTCCGGAAACGCTACCGCGCGAACACGGGCCAGAGAGGAAACCGCGAGATGTGCCTGGGCTTGTGTGGGACACGGCTGCATGGGGCGATCGCTCCTATCCCAAACAGCCATTTACATCTTATTTAAATACTTCAGCAGGGACCCCAGCACGTGCGTTCCGGGTTTTCTAAATGGAGTACCATTTTCTTTGGGGTTTAATGGCAGTCGAGTCCTTAAAGTCGATGGCTAAGTTAGGCCTTATCCACCCTACCGGTGATGGCGGCAAAAGCTGCTACACATTTTAGCTTTCATCTTCTGTTTACTTTACTTTTGGGTGTAGTAAAGATGATTTTGAGGGTTCTCATGCCTATACCCAAACACAGGATGAACAAAAATCGATGGGGAAAAACCAGCCCCATTTTGCACAGAGTCAGCCCAAGGCCTCAGAAGAAAATGCTCCTCTGCTCCTATGTTTTGGATCACCTCTGATCCTGTTTCTTATTCACAACCCGTAATTAGCTTTCAGCTATCACAGCACCTTTTCTGTGTGTCCTGCCTCCTTTGAGACAGCCATCTGCAGTCCCCGCCAGAACAGCCCCAGGGCAGGTCTCTGCTCCCTACCTCTCTCCTCCCAGAAGTGGACACCTTCACCCCCATCAGCCTCCACTTTGGGGAGCACTGAGGTTGCACCCTCACCTCGGCCGCAGAGCCCAGGCCATCACTTTTAATGACATTTGCAGGCCTTGAGAAATATTGCAGAACATGCAAGTGTGGTTTTTCAGCAAAGGTTTCTGGATTCGGTTCCTTTAGACTTAAAAAGACAGGGAAAGGTGTGTATAAAAATCACAACTATTTTTGTTCTGTCATGTATATATAGGTCAGTCACCAAGGGAAAATACTGTAGTTCAGCAAAAGAAAGTAGAGTAGACATGCTACGCTTTGTTATATCGGCTTATTCCTGCAGAGCACCTAAGGAAAGGTGCTGAGACAGTGAAACCAGTTAAAAATATTGTTCAAGATCTGACACACTGTTAAGTCCAGTTAAACCTTCTGAGAGGCAGGGAGATTAGCTAAAGAGACCCAGGAAAGTCCTCCCAGTGCCTACTGGCTCCAGTGTCGACCGCAAGATCGCTCATGACTGATGCTTCATTTAGTCATCGGTGAGACACAGAGGACGTTTCCACTCGTTCCAGGTTTGACCTTCTGTCCTGTTCGGATGGATCAATATCACCGATGCCACGTGAAGCTGAGATGCATGAAAAATGGAGGCTTGGCTCAATTGTTTTGGAGAAATCTCTTTTTTTCTTTTTTTTCCCAGCCACAGATCTTTTCTGTTGGCTGGCTCAAGGGTGCTGGCTTCGCCGGTTGGTTGGCTGTGCATGAAAACAGATGCCACATGTCTCGCTAGCAAGTTGAACCACAAGTTGTTCTTCTCAAAAATAAGAAAGTTTTGAACATCTCAGCACTACTTTGTTGTTAGTCTCCAAGATGAATCATTGTGCAATATTTTGAAACAAAAAGCACGGATTTCCTAACAAGCATTTCAATCGACCCCAGACACGGAGGAAACCATTTGTCCCTCGTGTCAGCTGTCTCTCTGTAGTGTTATGATTCACCACAGGACATTTCAAAAGCTGTAAGGAGAAAGTGAAGTATTAAACATTTTGTAACACAATTGGAATAGAAATACGTGGGTTGGACCACCACTGTTGGATTCACAAGTAGTGAACATCAAAAAATCCTGTGTGAGATCCAAGCTTCACAGCACTCCACGGTCACGTCTGTTAGTAAGATTATGCTACACTACAACACAAGGTGTTAGTATGGAGGGAAAACAGGGAAATCTTTTGAGAGGAGGGGCCCACTCGCTCCAGCATTGATCCATTACAGCCCCCTGCAGCACTCAGCGAGTCCCAAGGACCAGCGTTCAAATTAGTGAGGAAAATGCAAAATACCAACAACATTTCTTTTAAAGGCACACAATATTGGAATTACACTAAGCAGAAGCGCTGCTACTGTTTTTTCATTTTAAAAAGTTCAAGATTAAGGTGCAAGTAAGTCTTTTACATATCATTCATTCTTTAGGAGGGATCTGTACCTGGAATCTTCGCATGTCTCGTGGGTTGCCTGCATTCTTCAAACAGTTCTGATTGCACTTGAGGAAAAACTTTAGAAAGAATCTATAAAAATACAAAATTGAAATCTATTAGATTCATCGAAATGTAAATCCAATTTTTAAAAAGTTTAATAAAATGTAATCATAAATAGTTACACCCGAAAGAATACTGGTAGTGAAATATTACTTTCCTATTAGTTAATGAACTTATTTTAAAGTATAAGATCTCTGTCATAAACAGAACGTTATTGCCAGGGAAAGGCAAATTTATATTTTTAATTTTTCAACAACTACAGATATATTGACTCCAGGCCATATCCCTAGCTCGGTGTGGGAAAGTTGATCTCAATGACTCATTGACTTCAAAGGCAATGACTTACACCAGATGAGAATTCGCCGCTATTTTTTTAATATGTTTTATTTTTTCACAACTTATATTAGCAGTAATGACCTCTACGTAGAAAAATTCCAAGGCAGTGAATGATCAATGTTCTGAAAAACACTTGGCTTTGCCTCCGGATTGGAAACTCTCGCAATTCAAAGGGACTCGATCCAGCTCCCGCTGACCCCAGGGAGATCCAGGCGGGATCTGCCCACCGGCAAGGCCCTGGTTCCCTCATTGTTTTTGAAAGGAAAGCAACGTGGCAAATTAGGCCCTGTCTTGCGACCTCTTCAACCTTTGCCAGCCTTTAACTGTGAGGAGTCGCTCTACTCGGGGATGGAAATCCAGCCTGTTGTCACTGAGCGGCAACCAGCAATTATTGAGGACTAACCCTTATCGTCCAAGCATCTCCCCATAAACCATTTTTGTAGCAACGCTGCCTCCTGGGAGCCCAACGAGCACTTATAGGAAAGGGGAAAACTTGGAAAGGTGCAAATTCCTTTATGCTGGGGAATGAGCTGATACGGGATCTCCATGTGCCTCCACAGGTCTGCAAGACGTGGGGACCTTCACCATCCCACTCTCAAACACTTCTCTTTATGTAGCTACGTTTTCACATTTCATAATTTAAAAAATGCTCTAAGAGTTTGATTTTTGGCCAGTTATTGACAGCTAATGACAAGCAAGGCTCAGGACTTTCTCCTCACCCAGATGTTTCCCAGATTCACCAGCCCAGCAGCTTGTGCTGCCCAACTGCAAGCCTGCCGAGTAGCGAGGTTAGGCTGAGCTTTTACACTCAGAAAAGGAACATTTATTATTATTTATTCATGCCAATCTTTATAGGCGACTGTGGCTGATCTCGCTGTATACAGGAGTTTCTGTGTGCCAACAGCTTTCCTGGCAGGAGGCGAACCAGGCACCTCCTCCCTTCTTCAGCATCCAACAAGTCCCAACCATAGCCATGAGAAAGCACAACTGTGACTGCACCGCATTGCACTCGCTCCTGCAGAGCTTCAAGGGTCAGACAGGAGCATTATGGGAGTATCCTCATATCACAGACTTGTGCTTTTGATCACCGGTCTTCCATTTCAGTTAAACCTTGAGGAGAACCCCAATATTAATAGAGGAAGCTGATGCTGAAGGAGCAAGCTCTCCTATCAGAGAGGCAAGGAGGGAAACGACCAGATTTACTGAAGCTGTGCGTAAATAAATTCATGCTGTCAGGTCAGCTGAATGCACGTTTCTTAAAAACTTCCTGTCCCAAAATGTGTAAAGGGGTTTGGTTTTAGCTGTCGAGATAAAAGAGAGCTGGATTTCCATAGTGGTTGACGTGATCTCCTAGCTCGGATGCTCACTTGACCTCAGGTTTTCTGGACACTGTTGTCAGGACGCTATCAGTTACTTCAGGACACTGCATATTTTATTTTTTTTTAATTTTTTAAAGACACTTACGGTCTCCACATCAACTGAATATAGGCTAAACATAATGTGATTTCTGCCTCATCTCTATTCTTTCTTGCACACCTCTGATGCCCACCTCAGTAAGGGACAACCCGGCGAGTCAGGAGCAAGGGAGAGCCTCCAGCTCTATAGCTCCTCAGTGCCAGAGCCAAGCTGAAGAGGAGTATCTGAGCTATTTTTTTTCTGATCTCAAATGGGTGTTGTGAGGCTTATTGAGCTAATGTTTGTAAATTGCTCTGAAATTCTCCAATGAATTGTGCACTAGGAATGCTAAGTATGGCTCCTCGTGGGCTGTTTTTAACGTGAAGCTTTCGTGATGAATTGTTTCTATACAGAGAGCTCACATCCTGTCAAAAAAAAGGGCCATTAAGCACCCTTTCACTAAACATCAACTGGAACCAAAAAAAATCAATTATTTGGTGAAAAAGACCCTTGCTTGGTGGAATTAGGCATCTTCAGGTTTACCAGAATGAACGTGAGCATTCTGCTAAGTACTGAAGCCACGAGGCTGGGGCGAACGCAAGCAGCGCTCGCGTTTCAGCTCTGCCGCATCCCTCGATACTGAGAGATTTTATTTTATTTTTTAATCTGTGTTTTCAGAGAGCTCACGGAGCACGGGCAGCACCAAAACGAGATTTTCAACACAAGTTAAAACCCATGTACCCCTGCTGGCTGTTTCTCAAAGCTTGCCAGGAGAAGACGATGGCCTTGGTCATTCCTCCCAGTTGACCAACAGAGACCTTGGGTGCTATGAACCCATCCCTACCACAAAATGAGCAGGGACGGACACTTTCTCTGCACACCCCATACTCCCAAATCACTGTGACACAATAAGACACAGCTTGGTCATGTCTCGAACTTCACTGCTACCGACAGAATGAGGGTGCAAGTCTTTCTATATCCACCTCTCCTTGCTGCATTTTGTATTATACGCACGGATCGTAGTCTTTTTTAATAAATACGCTGTCAGAATAGCCTTCCTAAACATACTAAGCTGCTCCCAAAATACTGATCTGGAGAAAAATGCAGTCTTTGTGATGTTCCTCTGCTCTGAATTTTTTTCACGCTGCTAGAAAGGGGACTGCTACCACCTTAATTAAAATGTATTGCCTACCACAAGACTCCACTATTTTAAGACAGAATTTACATCTTTTATTAACTCACCTCACCTATACACTTAGCTCGCGATGCCTCTCAACGCCCATCTGCCATCCGCGTACAGTAAGTCACTTGATATTCCACCCACCAATTTTTCCTAACAACCACTGTGCAATTAAACTCCACACGTTCTGTTGCGAGGTAAATTAGGCACACCTGCGGCCAGACTTCATTTGAACTGCATCAGAAAAGGACCTAACAAGGTGAGAGCGTACCACAAAGTTATAGGCCTGTCAAGCAATTAGGTTTTCACTTCTGGGACATCCGCACAGTGCAATTATGCTACACATTACAACCTGGCTAATCTTCTGAACAAATGTCATGTCTCGGAGAAGCTAGTAAAAGCAGTTCATCTGCAAATGTGTCTGCTCTTAAGCCTCCACCTTATGCACATAACAACCTACAGGAGATTTTTTTTTTTTGTGATATGAAAGATGGGGTTTTTTTTTCCCATAGAATATTTTTTTTAAACCCTGCAAGTGCCTTTTCATCCATTTCACCTCTTCTTAACCTTTTTGAGAGGTGGTGTTCTAGCAAATAGACCAGAAAGACTTTTGTACTTGAATTTCAACACTAAGTGAGAAAATCCTTGGTATTATAAGAACAAGCAGTGGCTTTAGTCCAGTCTGATTCAAATATTGTTTGGGTAAAGAAATATATGTGGTGGAAACCCACCTATTACACCCTAGAAGCATCGTTACAAAGCGTATTTCCACCAGACCCCAAACAGAAGCGCTGTTCATGCCAATAAACCTCAGCAGGTCGTGAATGTTTAATTCTTGTTATTTCAGATACTGAGTGAGGGTGTCCCGGTGACAGCACCAGAAACCAAAATCTGCACCAAGAATAGGGGAGATCCCTGGGAATGGAGTCAGCCAAAACCTGCAGTGACTAGCAGCCTCCACCCCTCCATCATATAGCATCTTTCCAATGTCTGACCCAAACCCGACACAGGACCAAAA